GGACGAAGGCGCTTGCTCTGAAAAAATGTTGTCTTTCTGCTCAAGACAGTTCTGCTTGCTGGTTGGGAACTTCGAATGATCCCCGCAAGGTTCCGTGTCTTGTTCCAGTCAGTACTCAGCCAAGTCTCAAATCGTGGAGAGGCTGCTTCGAGGAGCGCCCTCAGGCGTTCTCGTAGCCGCATCCAGTCATACATGTCTAGGACAGCTGTGCACTCGTGGGATTGCATACTACGACCAGTGACATAGTAGAGTGCCAAGCAATCCTGGTCATGCCATAGTCTTGCAAGATCATGCAGTCACATCAATGACTAAGCATTCTTATCCTGCACTCTACAAGCTGTTCGGTGGCGTAATTAATCAGGCTAGCATTAACTACGTAACATCAATATTTAGCTCATACGCCTCAACCCGGCGTACTCGCGCACCCGAAGGTTAACTTCACTGGTGACTATGTGCGATTAGACTTAACCATAGCCCATATGTCACAATGCCCTGGCTTTACTTTTCCTCGGCTTATTTTATGTCCTCCGAGGATAGGACACTCACGGGAACATTTACTATCACGAAGAGACAACTTTACTACCACTTACTTCAGTGTCGGACCTACTAACTTCCGTACAAGACAACCAACTCGAGTACGGCGTCCTGTGGGAGCTTAGTTACTAAAAGTAACTATACCGCTCTGACTGAATACTAAACAATAAGGACGCCCCAAGCCCTTCTCGCCGTTCTTCAAGTCTTCTCCAATAATCCGCCACACACTCGGGCCCGGGGCGCGTTCACGACATATCTCTCTGGCTCCCACGAGTTATGTTCTGGACCATAACCCTTCCAGGATACGAGATAAGAGGCACGAGGATGACGTCGTCCTCGGAATCGATGATCCAATATCGAATCCACCTCATACGCCAGAGCACCTTCCAATTCAATTGGCGGTGGTGGGGGTTGTACCCGTCCGTCTGACCTGTAAGGCTCAAGCAGAGATACGTGAAATACAGGGTGAATACGCCAGCCTGGATTCATCTTCAGCTTATACGCAAGGGCGGTAGCACGGTTAGGTGTCCAGCTTTTGGTTCAGCAGGCATGTAACGGTGTAACGCTCGGCTTTTGGAATACCCAATATTTCAACTATGTAAGATATTCGTTGGAAAGGTCTTGAAATTCTAAGGTATTGACATATTTGAAATTCCAGATCCGGACCATTTTTGACGAAGTTCCGGGGCTGTAACGGTGAAACGCTAAACTGGCGCAGATTATTTAATAACTCAATAAACGATAACAAATCCAAATGGTATCGGATTGAAGGTTTTGAAGTTTTGTGCTCTCAAGCATAAAATAAGAGACACATTTGACATACCGTACTCCCCGGTGATGACTCCGAATAAATAAATAATTATCTGCATTCGGAAAGTCAGACATTCGGATTTTGCATTCGGAAAGTGCAAATTCGGAAAGGTCAAATAAATCTAAAACGGAAGTTGAAAGCCGAGAAACCGCTGAAATCAGCCTTAAAACCCTTCTCATAGTGGGAAAAACGAGACCTGCCATTAGGAGAGTTTGCTAGGAGAGTTCGGGAAAAAACTTGGAGAGTTTGACAAATCCGAGAAAATATTCGGGACTCTGAGAGTTCGGTACGGACGTCATTCGCTGACGTTGGTAGATAAAATACATTGAACACATGAATTTTAATCGATATACGCGCGAACGACTGCCGCCGGAATTTGAGCTTCAATTTATATATATAAAACCCAAGTTTATTGACACGTCACACACCCCGAGAGCCGCATTATTGGGTCCATTATACCATTAAGGGTTTTCAAGTCGACCTTCTGAGGCTCTTTCCATGCCGCTGCAGAACTGCAACGCGACGCTTCTTACCAATAAACCTGCATGACGTGCTTTGCTATTTCTTGGTACTTCTACAATTGTATTAAAGGCAATTGTACATATTTTCCGAGTATTTTTCATACGCCATATTGCTCAGCTTGTAAATTGGTGTAACAACTTGGGCGGCGACTTTTGATCGAGCGCTATACTATGTATATATATACTCATAAGCTGCAAAACTGGCACTCAATGCGTTTCATTTGGAACAAGTTTCTTTAGGGGGACGCTAATTCGGGCCTTGGGGGATTCTGGAGGAATTCTGGAACGTAGTCTATAACATGGTTACCATTGGTTAACCCTTAAACAATGAAGCCAAAGACCCCCGGATGCTTTTTCCCATTTTATATAGTCATTCTGAGCACTTTTATGCCTTTGAATTTGTACCATAAATATCTTGGACTTCAACTAAAATTAGCGTGATTATCAGGTCTCAAACACATGCTAAACACTTTGCTACACGCTAGCGCGTGCGGGCAGGAGTACCCGAACCATTATTTCTCCAATAATTAGCTAATTCGAGTAATTCTGCTAACTTCACCTCTTGCAGTTGCTTGGATTACCCAAATTAGCTAATTACAAGGGGCTGTGAGACCTCTCGCATGTTCCTTGCGTCACAGCGAAAAGACCCACGGTGCATGCCCTTCATGTTTTCCATGATAATTAGGTAATTTGAGCAACTCTGCTAATTGCACCTTCCAAGTTGCTCGAATTAGCCAAATTAGCTAATTACAAGGCGTTTGATATCCAAGGGTGTATGTCACACCTCTCACTCATAGTGCTAAGCGTCTACATGTGTACGCTCACCATGGTTTCCGTGATAATTTGCCTAATTCGAGCAACTTCGCTAATTGCACCTCTTATTACCGTAAATTAGCGAAATTACGTAATTACAAGGCTTCCAGCATGTCCAGACCCCTCGATCCCCTCGAAGGTAGAGAGTTACTCAAGTTACCTGAATCACTCAAATTACAGCGTGATCCGGACCCTTCAAGGC